TGCCTCTATATCCTCCAGAATGAGGTTCATTGTCCTTGGTATACTGGGGATTGTTCCCAAGTCATTGGGGTCAAGCTACTTTGAGACACCATCAGATGTTTATCGTCCTTTCGACCCTGGATACACCATCGGCGCCTACCCCCAGGACTTTACACTTGTGGGATCATCCCTAGAACCTATTCACGATTCTCAAAAGCCTTCCACGGGCCTAGCTGTCGACTCCTCTCATAACCTCTACCTAACTTATCCTCGCAACTCTGGACAAACACCAAATAACGTGGTGCTTTGCACGTCTTACAATGACGAGGTACCATGGCCCAATGCAGGCATGCAGAACTGTACTGTTGGTCAAGATCCCAGAACCTGCTTCATCAATGTCCAAAACATCGTTCTAGACAACCGGGGAAGGCTGTGGGTGGTGGATAGCGGGATTCCAGCTAACGCTAGCCCAGACACAAATGCGCTATTTGGAGGCGCAAAACTGATGAGCTTCAACGAGACGACGGGAGAGCACCTCCGGACCTATGTGATTCCCCAAGATCTTTTGTCGCATAGGATGAATATGAACGATATGCGTGTCAACACGACTGCAGGTGGAAGAGACGGGTATGCTTTTGTTACAGATGCTAGCAAGAATAGCTCATTATTGGCAGTGGATCTCGAAAATGGCAGTGCAGTACGCAGACTGTTCAACAGGAGCGTTGTCCGGGCAGACGAGAACTATGTTGGGTCATATGGCGGCGAGCTCATATACACTTGGAACGGCACTCAAAAGAGTCATCTCACTACGGCCGCCGATGGCATCGCGTTGGGTAGGTGATGTTAAGCTAATGTACGCTCATATTGCTGACCATATCATAGCATCTGGCAACTTCTATTGGGGCGTCCTGGCTTCCCGGCGCTTCTACTACATCTCTCAGGAGATTCTTGTCAACCAGAATCTCACAGACGAAGAGGTCCTTGCTGCCGTGCAAGACCCGGGTCAATGTGGTTCAGAACAAGCTGGCTTCACCGCTGACGACCGAGGCCGAGTGTATATCGCAGCGAGCGAACAGAACGCTATATACTATGTCGACACACTAGAAAGTGAAACCAATATGACAGTCAATGGTAACTTAACTGGGGGGTCCGGTCTTATCCCACCAGAGGACTACGTGGTGAAGACGTTGGTGAGGAACGCGATGATTCAACATGCCGATTCCATGGCCATCTTGGACGGTTGGCTGTACTTTAACACAAATCAGCTTACGTTGGGTCCTGGATTCCAATACGATAATACAGACAAGAGGAGAGGCCCATTCCGTAGCTTTAGATTATGGATCGGACGGGGGCCAGCGGTGGCATAGTATTGTATGTCCGTACGAAGAAGCTTGTTTGCTGAGCGATCCTCTGAATCCAAAAACCTATCTCAAAGATACACATCGTTGTTTCCTAAACAGAGTTGCAGCGCAGATTACTATGCAAGTCTTCAGGGTACATTCTATCCTACGAGGATACAATTCACGAAAAATAAGCTTCGAGGTATCTGGAAGGGTGGACTGGTATGAGCTTCTTTTCGTCTTGCTTTGTGTCGAGAAGCCTCTCAATCGCATGAAAACAAAGCTTTCACTAGCTGCTTCTTGATGTTTTCTGCTTCATATGTCGTAACGCCAATGAAGTCATTGAACACTAGAATGACTCTAGCTATCATGGTGCACCTGTATCATCACGGCACAAGCACTATTGCCTCGTCGTTGGAGAGTCGTAAAGCAGAGAAGAAAATACCCGATGGCATAGATTTTTATATTCGGACACATCTGTAACAACATCGTGTGATTTTCTGGCATGACACTAGGATGCCGTTGTACCCACGGGATTGTGAAAACAGACCCCTGTTTCCTTAACCCGCGATCCGCTATACCGGAAAACCTCTAGCGGCTTACCCCAGCTTCCACTTGTGTCATCGGCTGCGGTAACTGTCGGCTTTAGTACTTCACAATATCACACCTCGGCGGCAGTACATGAATATGTTTCTTTCACACAAAGAATCTGCAAACATATTACGCCCACCATGAAGTCCTTCGCAAGCCGAGAAGCATCCCGCGTATTCTCACGATCAAACCTTGTCCATCGCGCGTCAATTACCGTACCGAGGAATGCAAACACTCGCATACAAGAGCAAAGAAGAGGGTTCCGGGGGACGAGACGACTATTGGTAGTCAAACCGTACCTGCTGGCAGATATTGGAGAAGGTCAGTAGGCGAATGAGAGGTATCGGCGGTGCAGGCTAATCATGCTGTGCATAGGTATTACCGAATGCCAGGTTATCCAATGGTTCGTACAGCCCGGCGCGCGCGTGGAGCAATTCGACCCGATCTGCGAGGTACAATCGGATAAAGCATCTGTCGAGGTATATGTCATTTGAGATACAAAGATGACGTTGGCTAATCGCAGCCAGATCACCTCGCGGTTCGATGGCGTTATCAAGAAGCTGTACTATGAAGCGGATGACATGGCTAAGGTTGGAAAGGTAAGCGTACACTTGGAGATTCTTGCAGATGACGAGCTGACAGCAGAAGCCTTTGGTAGACATCGACATTCAAAGCGAGATCTCCGCAGCCGACGAAGCCCTACTCAACGGAGGATCAGGCAAACAAGACGACGAGGTCCTGCTTACTGGGGGCGGAGGTACCAAAACAGACCAGAGTACGCTTGAGCATGCAAAGCCAGAAGAGCAGGAGATTGAGCTTGGGAGGAACGATACCAAAGCTGCGACTGGCGATCTGGCTCTCTCAGATCAAAGCACCACTCTACCATCTGAACCATCGACAACACAAAGACAACCGGGAAAACATGCATCGCTCGCCACGCCAGCAGTAAGACACATGGTCAAAGAACACAAGCTAAAGATTGAGGACATAGAGGGTACAGGAAGGGAAGGACGCGTACTTAAAGACGATGTACAACGGCATATCGAAGCAATGAAGCAAGCGACAACCGTACCATCGACAAGTTCAATACCAGCGCCCGCTCCCACGCAACAAATGGAGGATCAAGTCAAGCCATTGACCCCAGTTCAGTCTGGCATGTTCAAACAGATGACCAAATCTCTATCCATTCCTCACTTCCTGTACACCGATGCGATAGACTTCAGCTCATTGACGTCCCTGCGCAAAAAGTATAATGCAGGCCGTGAGAAGCCAGAGCGGATAACACCGCTGCCGATCATTATCAAGGCCGTGTCGCTCACGCTTCAACGATTCCCGTTACTCAACTCGCACTTGGATACAAATACGAACCCGAACAAGCCACAGATTGTGCTCAAGGGAAGCCACAACATCGGTGTAGCAGTAGACTCACCTGCTGGGCTGCTCGTACCCGTCATTAAGAATGTACAAAACCACAGTATCGCCTCGCTAGCCCAGGAAATTCAACGCCTCAGCTCCCTGGCACGCGCTGGCAAGCTCTCGTCTGCTGATCTCACTGGCGCAACTTTCACAGTCAGTAATATTGGTAGCATAGGCGGTGGCACTGTGGCACCTGTCATCGTGGGACCACAGGTTGGTATTTTAGGTATCGGGAAAGCGAGGGTAGTGCCAGCCTTTGGGCACAATGATGAGCTGATCAAGAGGGAGGAGTGTGTGTTTAGCTGGAGTGCTGATCATAGGGTTGTTGACGGAGCGTATGTTGCGAGGGCGGCAGAGGAGGTGAGGAAGTGCTTGGAGGGTGTTGAAGAGATGCTCGTCAGAATGCGATGAATGTCTTCAAATAGCACAAGCTTATCAAAAATGACAAAGATACAATATTCTACATGACACTGCATTATTTGGGCAGTCCTCCAGTGTCTTGATTCTTGATATTTGATGTACTGTGATCAGCATGGAAGACTCAGGACAGCCGTCCAACCTGCCATTGAACTACGCATGGTCTTCTGCTAGCATCTATCCCATAGCGGCTCGAACAATGGTACTTGGTGCTCAGCAGTAATAGCAGAACTGCTAATATGTTCTTTCTAGCTCATGAAACTCCCTCGTACTCTCATGTTCGTTCATCCCCTATACCAAAGTACACGTAGCATATTCAAGCAGCGCCCTTGAGCACCTGCTCGAGGCTGTTCTTGCTGTTCGTGTACGTCTTCTCTAGATAATCCTCCTTCTTATCCAAGTTGGACATCTCCTTGTTCAATGCCTCACTCTCACTCTCGAGTCTCTTCTGTACATCAGGGATAGGCGTACAGACAAACCTATTCATCACGAGTCAGTCTCTTCAGTGAATCTCTTGCCTCCCCCGCAATTGCGAGGCGAATAACTTACATCTTTCCAACACCCTCGTACACCTTGGTCTGCGCAGGCAATGACGAGACCTCTGACGAGGTAAGCTGAAGCATACGGCCCTCTCGTGTCCTGGCGGCTTTTTGTTGTTTGACGATGACGAGTTGTTGCTCAGCGAAGGCCTTCTTTTGACTGATCTCTTGCAGGACCTAGATTTTCGTTATCAGAACCCAAGCTCTTTCCTCGATTTCAACCATGCGCCATTATCACGCACCTTCTGCAAAGCCTCGTTTGACATGGACATGGTGGCGGGATTCCTCTCGAAAGCTGAAGATGCTCGCACGTCTCGTAAGAGTGGCCAGCTGCGCTGCGCTCTCAAGCTTTCTCGGTTCGGCAGTTGTGAGGGACCCTGAGAGGACGTGATTGGCTAGCAGATTTACACCGAAAACAGAACCGCCGCTGCTGGCAAACCGTTCCCCCCGTGTGCTAGACGTGTAGTTCAATAGTCGCAGTAACTGCACTGGGGCTGCCCTTTCGCAGGTGCACCCTTGGGGTGCGTGGCGCGGTAGGTGACAGCTGTGACAGCCTGTCGCTAAAGCATGGACCTTTCTTTGCGCTGATTGTCGCTCTCCAGTCTTTCCTTCCGCAAAGTCCGGAACTAGGTACAAGCTTGATATCGTGTTCGAACATCTGCAATTCCCTGTCTTCGTCTTGTTTCCCTTTCCGCTTTACAGTTTGAGTAGAGACAGAATGGCTGCGTTCCTTTCTCGTCTACCTTCGATACCGTATCCGCCCGAACAGGATGGATGGTTCTCTCCAGTCACATCTACCCTCGACTGGTGTGAAGAGGTTTGCTAGCAAAATCGCCCTATTGCGAAGGCAGCGGCTAACGCTGAGAAGAACTATGTAGTGACACAGTACTCGGCAGAAATTATCAACACACTCACGAATCTTCTGTTCATGTACCTGGCAGCCAAAGGTATACGCAACTGCTTAAAGAATGGACATGACACAGTTTTCCTCGTGGCATTCATTGGCTACTTGCTCGTTGGGACTGGAAGCTTCCTCTTTCACGCGACACTGAAATGTATGTTTGCCGCTGAACAAGTCTTCAACATGCAGTATCTGATACGTCCTAGATCCCATGCAGCTTGTAGATGAGCTCTCGATGATCTACACAACGTGTTTGATGAATTTTGCAACATTTTCGTATGGAAAGTCACGGCTTTACTCTACTGTTCTTGCGGTTGGACTGGTGTCTCTCGCCGTCTTCATTACGCTATATTACCATTACCTCCAGGATCCAACCTTCCATCAAAACGCCTACGCGCTCCTCACAGCAATCGTGCTGTTTCGGGCCATTTATGTAATGGAGGTGAATATCCGCCCGCGCTTCCGGTCCAAGGAGAGGGAAGCTGCGAACCCGCGTCCGCATAGAGGTGTGAAGGCGGTTCAAGAAAGGGAGGACGTGCGGGACCAGGAGATTCTCAGTACCATGTGGAAGATGATTACATTTGGTCTAAGCATCTTCTTGGGTGGTTTCGCAGTCTGGAGTCTCGATAACGAGTACTGCTCGAAGTTGATCAAGTGGAGGAGGGAGATTGGTATGCCCTGGGGCTTCGTACTGGAGGGTCATGGGTGGTGGTGAGTACTGCACGTATCCGCGAGACGACGAAAGCTTATCACATTAGGCATCTCATGACGGGAACCGGAGCCTACTACTACATCGTGTGGGGTGTGTGGCTTCGACATTGCCTTAACTACAGACAAGACGAGTACGAGCTGGACTGGCCCAACTTCTGGACGATGCCGCAGGTTATTAAGCGACAAGAAGCGTTGAATAGAGGTCATGTGAATGGCTCTACGAAGAAGGAGCTGTAAGCGGTGACGGTGAATCATGTATGCTATGGGGTTTTATGCATGTGCTTGCAAGATCAGCGTTGTGTGGTATTCCGCTGCTTCGAGCATGCAGAGAGTAGAATTTTACAGGGGTTAGCCGGGATGGAAGGAACACCTGGGCAGCTGCCTTCAGTGGTAGCCATAGCACAAGAAGAAGCAACGACTACCACAGCATATCGCAAAGCAATAGAAGCATCTGATGGAAACACTCAATGCCAACATTTGTGCCATGCTAGTGCGGTATATCTCCATGACTAGCTCTTCCTGTCGAACAGGCACCAGCTTTGGTCGCGCGCGTTGTTAGTAAATAGCCTTAGCGCCGACGGGCCCGTGCAGACGACCCACAGAGATCTTTAACGCACTCACCGCTTCTGCTCCTCTTGCTCTCCACACCAGCACCACCAGCACCGTCGACCAGCCATAACCCAGCTCGCCGCACTTTCTCCTCAGCACTTCCCATTAACCTCATCCCCCAACCGCCAACATGCGTGAGATTGTATGTATCGCCTGGAGTCAAACGTCCCTGTGGCGCGTCCTGCCCCGCGCCTAGATATCATTCAGGGACAAGCGCGAACAACAGAGAACAACAGCTAACAACTCTTCTGTGCAACAGGTTCACCTCCAGACCGGTCAATGCGTAAGCTCTTCTCTCCTCAAACATCCAGACGACAGCTAATAGTGTTTTCAGGGTAACCAAATCGGTGCTGCCTTTTGGCAGACCATCTCCGGCGAGCATGGCCTCGACGGCTCTGGTGTCTACAACGGCACTTCAGACCTCCAGTTGGAGCGCATGAACGTCTACTTCAACGAAGTACGTCACTCGATATTCCATACGGCAGATAAAAGGCCAATACTGATCTATAGCAGGCGTCCAACAACAAGTTCGTGCCCCGTGCCGTCCTCGTCGATCTCGAGCCCGGTACCATGGATGCCGTCCGCGCTGGTCCCTTCGGCCAGCTGTTCCGCCCCGACAACTTCGTCTTCGGCCAGTCTGGTGCTGGTAACAACTGGGCAAAGGGTCATTACACCGAGGGTGCCGAGCTGGTCGACCAGGTCCTCGATGTCGTGCGCCGCGAGGCCGAGGGCTGCGACTGCCTCCAGGGTTTCCAGATCACCCACTCCCTCGGAGGTGGTACTGGTGCCGGTATGGGTACGCTTCTCATCTCCAAGATCCGTGAGGAGTTCCCCGACCGCATGATGGCCACCTACTCCGTTGTGCCTTCCCCCAAGGTCTCCGACACCGTCGTCGAGCCCTACAACGCCACACTCTCCATCCACCAGCTGGTTGAGAACTCAGACGAGACCTTCTGCATTGACAACGAGGCTCTCTACGACATCTGCATGAGGACTCTCAAGCTGAACAACCCCTCCTACGGCGACCTGAACCACCTCGTTTCCGCCGTCATGTCGGGTGTCACTACCTGCCTGCGTTTCCCCGGTCAGCTCAACTCTGACCTGAGGAAGTTGGCCGTCAACATGGTTCCCTTCCCCCGTCTCCACTTCTTCATGGTCGGATTCGCTCCCCTCACCAGCCGCGGTGCCCACTCCTTCCGCGCCGTCACCGTTCCCGAGCTCACCCAGCAGATGTTCGACCCCAAGAACATGATGGCTGCTTCCGATTTCCGCAACGGTCGCTACCTGACCTGCTCTGCCTACTTCCGTGGTAAGGTCTCCATGAAGGAGGTCGAGGACCAGATGCGCAACGTCCAGAACAAGAACTCCTCATACTTCGTTGAGTGGATCCCCAACAACGTCCAGACCGCCCTCTGCTCCATCCCTCCCCGCGGCCTGAAGATGTCCTCTACCTTCGTCGGTAACTCCACCTCCATCCAGGAGCTGTTCAAGCGTGTCGGCGACCAGTTCACTGCCATGTTCAGGCGCAAGGCTTTCTTGCACTGGTACACTGGTGAGGGTATGGACGAGATGGAGTTCACTGAGGCTGAGTCCAACATGAACGACTTGGTTTCCGAGTACCAGCAATACCAGGAGGCTTCCGTCTCCGAGGGTGAGGACGAGTACGACGAGGAGGCTCCTCTTGAGGCTGAGGAATAAGCTGGTCACGGCCGTTGACCTGCTGGGCTTGGCTGTTGGAAACTTTCACGCGTGGACACAACGTTGTAATTCAATTCGTACTTTGAGCGATTCGGTCATGGCTTGACAAGCATGACAAGCGACTCAACTTCTTGTTAGCGAAAAGATGCTATAATCAAATATTGTCCACAAACTTGGTGCATTTTGTTTGCCTGCTGATGGCTGTGTCTACCTCACCTGTCTTTCTTTCCGTGTTCTCTCAAATGTTCAAGGTACCCTACTAGTCGTTTCTTAATCACTACGCCCACCAGTCGTCCCGTTCCTTCCTCGGTGACCATCAGGTATCTCAATCCTAGCTTGGCAAACATCTCGACGGCATACTCCAAGGGCGCTTTCGCACAGATAGTCAGTGGCGTTCGGTCCACAAAGGGCGTTAGATCCATCTCCAAGCTTGTTGGACTTGTTGGATCGTCAATCTCCTGGCCCAATAATCTAACCTGGACGTCCTCTTGGGTCGACACGAGCGCACTGGGGACAAGTTTCGTCAACCCAAATTCCAGCTCCGACTGTGAAATGTAACCCTGCAACACTTCCACACCCTCACCACCGCTGTTCCTCTGCACAAGAACGAGACCCGCATCCATAAGTCCCCTCTCCCTCAGCGCATGTAGCTTTTCTTTGAGCAAGTCCAACGCTACTTTGTTGCTGGCAGGAACCAAGACAGTAATATCGGACATGGTGCGTTGAGGCGGAATAAGGGCCTCGACGCAAGCTTTGTGTTGCCGGACGATTGATAGAGCGACATCTGGGTCTAAGAAGGGGTGGGAAAGAAGTGTTTGAGCGAGATCATATACACCTTCTGTTGAGATGGCGTCTGCAGTCCATTTTGCGACTAGGATGGCGAGCATGGAGGGAACAGTGTAGGAAAGTTGGCCGGTTAGTTCAAACATCTATCATAGTGTTAATAGAGGGCGGGAAGAGAAAGAGGGAGTAATGGGAACACTTACGATAACAGCAAGTGAAATCGTCATACGTGATACTCCAGCCAGAAATGCGGCAGCGCCAACCATGGCGAAGATACCTGGGCTTATCGAACCGATTGTTTGACCAACTAGCCGCCCGAAAAAAGCCCCAGCATCCAGCGCGGGGATGATGACGCCAGAGGGAACTTTGGTGCCGAACGTTATGGTAGTTAGAACGAGTTTGGCAAGAGTACCGTACGTTAGCCAAGCCACAAACTTCCAATTCGTCTTTCCATCTCCCACTATATCAGTACTTTCATTCCGACAGACCCAAGACGCCCTTGAAGCGTCATCACCGCAATCCACAAGCAGATTTTTGATGATGACATCTCCGGGTTCCCTCGTTAGTGGGTTAGGGTACTGAAGAAGCGCAGTCGCAAACACGACCAATGCAACCTCTAGCACAGGATACCGTTTGATAAGCCCAAAGCTTCTAAACCACTTCGACCACAGGAAGTTGAACTTGCAGAAGAGACCACCAAAAACACCACCCGCTACGCCCAGCAACACGAAAACGAGGTAGTGAATAGCCTGATACTCAGTCCCGAAATTGGACTCAAAAAGAACTAATTTACCCGTTCCCGTAGGATTGAGTTCTTTGAGTACCATAGCCGCCGTAAGACTACATAAAAATGCTCTCCACAGCACCTTCCTTGGGAAATACGTCGATATTTCCTCGTAGGAGAAAAGCACTCCGCCAATCGGTGCGCCAAAGGCAACCGAAAGGCCAGAACTGCAGGCTGCACTGAGCAATTCTCGCATCTTACGTCCGTTGTCCCGGTATTTTGGAATCAACCGGCCGACTAAGTAACCCACACAGGTAGAGATGTGGACAAAGGGACCTTCTTTTCCTAGACACATACCAGTCGATACGGCAAAGATAGCGCCGAAGGCTTTGACGGTGAGAACGCGGAGGGAGAGAAAGGATGGGATAGAAAAACCGGATAGGATTGTTTTTATTTCAGGGATGCCGGATCCGGAGGCCATGTACATAACTTTGCCGCTGGGAGCTGTTGTGGGGGTTACTGGGATATCGTTGTCATGGCCATTGGATTTTGTGGTCGAGCCTGGCGTGTCTGAAGCAGATGGAAGTGCAGTCTTGGTCAACATAGTCGCGCCTGAACTGATGATACCGAAAACCAATGCCATAGCCAGGTAGATGGCGAAACCAGACGCATAGTCGTCTGTCCATTCATGCCAATTCTCACATTCATCAACATTACTCGTACGAAAAAGGGCCCTTGCTTTCCTCTGAGAACAGCAAGCTTCGCGGTTCCGGAATCCATGGCCAGAGCAATATCCGACTTTCCAGTCCGAAACAGTAGCCACGGCGATGTCGACAAGAAAAGCAACGCACGCAGTAAGTGTGCCGATGATAATGACAGCGATCCATCCTGAGCAGGCGTCGAAGAGAGCCAGAGCCTTGTAGCGGATACCGCGTCGGGATTGGATGTGACGAAAGCGGTACGAGTCTTTTACCTGTTTTTCACATCAGCATACTTCTGCGGTTTTGGTGAATGGAAGATGCCAGTACCAAATCGTGTAACCAGTCGATTGTAGTATAATCGTTGTATGGTAATCGTTCTCCAACCGTACTACCTGCTAACTGCTGTTCTTCCTTTGTTACAGTGGACGCGATGACCGATGAAGCCTCCTCATCTTGCGCGTGTTGGAGCTGTGATAATCGGCTCTGGTGGAGTAGAGGTGTACGCTCGTGTCCGTTCTCTTGATCAGATGCCATGTCTAGTCGTCCAGGACTGAGGTCAAGGATGGTGGTTCAAGGCAGCATGATGTAGCGTACTCAAGGTACATATCGAAATCAACGTGGCTTGCCCAATGACGCATGTAAGCATATCTAAAACGCAAGCTTATCTACCGCGGAAAAGGTTCTACTGGAACATCCTGGGGAAGATGCTTGTGAGATGAGTAGATTGCTAGGCTTGGCTGGGGTGTGGAGAGATAAGGAAAGCACGCTAATTGATTGGTGCGCAATGTTACTTCTGGTGCAACCATGAGCATAGAGCAGTTCACAGGCGGACCCAACACTTGCGATTTTTCCAAGGAAAGGAATTGGTACAATTGCGGAGGAAGCACTACAGTATCGCGAAGAACCTACATAAACATGTCTTCGTATGGATGTGTCACCATTCCCAGCCATGAATTGACAGCCTTCAACCAGAAGAACGCAAAGTGAAGTCCAATATCCAGACTGGACAAACACGGTATCATTGAGACTTGTATCATGACTAACAAAGGGAATCGGTATGGCTCCAGGTGAACAAGTGAAAGAAAATATTGCATCATTACACTTAGGTTGAAGGTAGTCATCGCCAGCGTAATGTTGAAACAGCTTTATGCAGCTGCAGCAGCATCCCTCTGAGCTACCCACTCATCCTGGTATTTCTGTACAGATTAGTGCGCGTCTTGGGCATGTGATGCTTGATACATACCTGCTTCTCGGCAGCGCTCAGACTCTTCCACTCGTTAGCAGCGAGTTTGATGGCGTCCGTCGAAGGGATGTTCTTGTAGTCTCCACTGGCATGCCTGGCTCGCACAAAGGCGGGGAAAGGAAGCACCTTCTTGGTCTGGCGGTCGTCCACAAGTTTCTTAGCATATGGAGGGGTATGCTTACGCTTGTCCGCAAGCAACTTCCGTAGCTGGCTACGAGCGTTGTTTGCAATCTTTATCTGTTCGGGAGTGTAGGAATGGATAAATGCCTTGTACTCGGCTTGTCTGGCAGCGTTCTGTTGGTTGGCAATGTGGTTCCAGTGCTGCAACGACTTAGCACATGGGCGTCTCAACGTGAAGGCAGATTAGAATTACCTCAAGCTCAGCAGGAGTTAAGTTCCTGAACGCCTCGATAGTTTCGGTAAAGCTGGAATTTGAAGCGCGCGTTTCAGAGACAAAGGCATTTATAGCCGTATACGCGCGGGGCCTTACAGGCTCCTTGAGTGCCTTGACGCGCAGTTGGCGGATCTTGGCCTGTAGTTTCTCTTCATCCGTCAAAGGTTTCTTGACGCGCTTCTTGGGCGTTGCTTTCTTGGCAGCCGGCTTCTTCGCTGTTTTGCTCGCCGCAGTCTTGGTCGCCGTAGCCTTCTTGGGGGCTGCCTTCTTTGCGGCCGTGGCAGTCTTCTTAGGCGCCGGCTTCTTAGCTGCCGCAGTCTTGACGGCCTTCTTCACTGTCTCGGTCGGCTCGGTAGCGCGCGTAGTTGTAGCATAGGACCGGCGGGCACGGACAAGGGATGCGAAGGCGCGTGAGAGAGGGCGGGCATGCGGGACTCGAGCGGCATTGTGGGCGAGGAGAGAGCGGCGGAGGGAGCGGGCAAGCTGCGGCATGTCGTGTGGGGAGGTCCTGGGAGCGTCAGCTGCCAGGCGGCAGAGTGCGCCGGCCAGCATCGTGGGAATTCGTCGGTCGTGGCTTGGAGGCGCGTGGCGGTGAAGTCAACGAGCGGCGGCGCAGCTCTGAGCGGGCAATTGAGGGGGCTCGGGAGGTGCGCGCACTGTGTTGATGAGTCGGTGTAACGAGAGGCTGGGAGCTAGCCAAGAACGTCATCCAAGTAGAGAGTAGTCAGGCACGCGCTGCATTGATCCTCTACCCCACCATTGCAGAGTCACTGCCGCAGCATCACCATTGCCAAGTCATTTCCCGACCAACGTCACGTCTCAATATCTATATACATTCCCCGCTTGCTGAGCCTATCTACCTCGTCTATAGAGCATCTTGCAACTATGTCGACCATGTGCTTTTCATATCACCTTGTAACTGTTTCGTCGTGTTAGCGGGACATTTGTCTAATGAGTGGGAAGCTCATACCTCCATGGATGGTCCTCGTCGCCGTACTGAATGGCCTCCATCCAATCCTTCATCTGTTGTGCCACAGGGCCGGCTTCGACGTGGTCTTCAAGTCCGCAGTCGACAAGCTGTCCCTTCCAGCTAATCTTTCGCACCGGTGCGACAATGGCAGCGGTACCTGCACCAAAGATCTCCATCATGCGTCCCTCGTTGGCAGCGTCGGCCACCTCCTTCATGGTGAACTTGCGCTCCGTTACGGTCCAACCCTTTGGCACCAATCGCTCGCGCGCAAGTTCGAGGATCGAATCTCGCGTCACTCCCTCAAGAATCGTTCCGTCAAGAGGTGCAGTGAGCAACTCTGGCTTTCCCGTCTCCTTGTTCTTGATGGCTGCGAACAAGTTCATCGTGCCCACCTCTGTAATGTACTCTTCTTCGCCAAACAACCACAGGTTCTGATGGAAACCACGGCTCGCAGCCTGCATCTGCGGGACAATGCAAGGCGCGTAGTTGGCACCGAGTTTCTTGTCTCCAACACCTCCAGGCCATGCACGCACAGCGTAGTCTGTAGCCTCGAGCGAGATGGCCTTGAAACCGGTAGGGTAGTACGGGCCGACAGGCGAAGCGATTACGTAGAGTAGTGCAGAAGCGGGAGGACCTACGCCCAGAGTGCGCTGTGTACCGATCATGGTTGGGCGAAGGTAGAGAGAGTAGCCTCGTGCACTGCTATGGTTAGAAGGACGCGTTGGTCACAAGACTCGGAACTGAACATACTCGGGAACAAAGCGCTCGTCCTCTTTGACAAACTTGCCAATGAGCTCGATCAGAGCATCAGGGTCGAATGTAGGCAATGCAATTCGTGCTGATGACTTGTTCAACCTAGCCATGTTCTTGTCCGGCCTGAACAACCTAATGTTGCCGCTCTTGTCCTTGTAGGCCTTCATGCCCTCGAAGCACTCGAATGCATAGTGGAAGACGCATGTCGCAGGGTCGAGACTGAGGTTCTGGTAGGGTGTGATGCGTGCCGGTAGCCATCCTTGTGTTGCTGTCCATTCAAGGGAGAGCATATGATCTTACATGCAGGTTAGATATGAGTCGTGGTGCCATTGGGGCTATTACCAGAGAAGTTGCGACCAAAGACAAGTTCCTCATGCGGCAGGAGGTCTTTTGGTGTGGTCGTCTTGGTGATGGAGAGCTTGGTAGGGTCGATGTCCTGTATCTTCTCGCCAACAGAGACATCAGCATGAATGCTGTATGGCCGCTGGGTCCGACATCGCAGCGACGCGCTGAGCGGTGCTACAGGCGAACGAAAGGCACCACGGGCCAAGGACGAGAGCAATCGTGAAGACCGCTGCTGAAGCATTGTGAGGTATGCAGTGCAAGCGGAGAGAGTGGGGCGGGAAGGAGAGTTGGTGCAGGTGGTGGATTCGAGGTCGATAATTATTTTGTACTACAAGACCGAAGCTGACCGCGCCCTGTAGGTATCGGACCTCGAGACACAGTCACCAACAGTCGCCTCCGATCGCGCCCCTGCACCAGCCACCAGACGGGCCGCCGAAGGGCGCAATTGGCACCTTGGTAATCTCCAATGCGGATATTTGAGGTTATTCACGTGCTCGGTATCCTGTCTGGCGCCGGTGGCCGTATTTACACTGCCTGCGCTGCGCTCACGTCATGCAAGGCGGGAGACTAGAGGCGGCCCTGACCATCCTTCTCCACAGCTCGCGTGGGGTTCCCAACACTTGGCCTTGTCTACCAATTGCCTGTTAGGTATTCGCCGTCGCCAATGAGCCTGGAAATTGTGCGACTCTTCTGTGGCTGTCGCAAGTCGTCTCGTGGAAAGAGGAACCGTGTCTGATGTGTCTTGATTTCCTCGGCGGCCCCAGCTATCTGTCTCAGATCTCACGCGAATACCAACACTTCTCACATCGACATCACAGTCCATGACGCCCTCGCTTCACACCCACGAAATCGCCGCGCGCGCGAATAGACCACCAGCAACATGTTTTCCAACGCCCTAAAGTCCTTCACTTCCAACATCTCGAGCAACTACACCCTCAGCCCGCAACCCACGTCCCATTCTGGACCATGGAAGATATACGACGCAAAGAAGAAGTCGACCGGCAAGGCGGCATCTGTCTTTGTGTTCGAGAAGAAGTCACTGGAACCACCAGCTGGCGCAGGCTTCGGTGGGCGCTCAGCAGCTTCAGGACTCAAACGCGCGCATGACGAGGTCGTCGAAAGACTCAAAAAAGAGGCCAGTTCTCTAGCTCGGTTACGGCATCCCAACGTGTTAGAACTGGCTGAACCTGTCGAGGAAACTCGTGGTGGTGGCCTTATGTTCGCGACAGAGCCCGTCACGGCATCCCTGGCTGGTTTGCTTCAAGAAAAAGATGAGCAGGAGAAGGCCGGTGGTGTAAATGGACGTCGTAGCCGATATGTCATCGAAGAAGCCGATGGCCAGAAGCGGAGACGCGAACTTGAGATCGACGAGCTGGAGATACAGAAAGGCTTGTTACAAATCGCAAAGGGCTTGGAATTCCTGCACGAGAGCGCTGGATTGGTACATGCCAACTTGACTCCAGAAGCCATCTTCATCAATGCTAAAGTAGGCAGCCACAATACTAGCCATTCCCTACAAACACCTTGCTGATCGTTGTGATAGTCCGATTGGAAAATCTCAGGCCTGGGTTTTTCTACGCCTCCAGAGAACTCCACGAAACCCACATCCGTAACGCCCATCTCGCTCTCGGAAGTCCTGAACTACGACGCCCGCCTACCACGATACGTCCAGTTGAACATAGACTACTCTTCGCCCGATTTCGTCATGGATAACAATATAACCCCTGCTGCGGACATGTTCAGTCTAGGTATGCTGATAATTGCGCTATACAACTCGCCGCATAAGAGCCCGTTGGAGTTCAACGGAAGTTCTTCTTCATACAAGCGGGCGTTCTCCTCATCCTCCTCAGTTCCAAGCAAAACGAACAACTTCATGGCGTCACAACCATTGCCGCGAGATCTCGCAAACGGTGTCCTAGATCGCTTAATAACACGGCGACCAGCGCAGCGACTGGACGTACGAGAGTTCCAACAAGCAGCATACTTTGACAACATTCTAGTGTCCACAATCCGCTTTCTTGACTCGCTACCGGGGAAGACACCCAACGAGAAATCACAGTTCATGCGTGGTCTACCGCGTATCCTGAATCAGTTTCCCAAATCTGTACTAGACAAGAAGATATTACCTGCTCTGCTTGAGGAGATGAAAGATCGGGAACTCCTCACTTTGATACTCCAGAATGTCTTCAAGATCGTTACTATGCTTCCATCCGGCAAACGAGCCTTCACCGAGAAAGTGATACCAAAGTTGCGAGAGATATTCCTGACTGCTGCAGCTACAAACACGAAAGCGCCGCAACAGGAGAGAGATAGTCTCAAGGAAGCGGGACTTATGGTACTTCTTGAGAACATGCAGATCGCTGCAGATAACTCCAGTGGCAAGGAGTTCAAAGATGACATACTCCCAATCATCAACTACGCTCTTGAATCTCCTACCCACTCGCTCGTCGATGCAGCTCTGCGTACGCTACCTGTTGTCTTGCCAATTCTAGACTTCTCGACTGTGAAGAACGAGCTCTTCCCTGTAATAGCTAGTATCTTTGCAAAGACCAGCAGCATGGGTATCAAAATTCGTGGTCTAGAAGCTTTCAAGACACTTTGTGGAGGAGGAAGTGAACAGCAAGACGACCAAGGTGATGGTCTTACCGGAATGGTAGCAGCACCCAAGGCCAAGAGCTCCAGTGTATCGATTCTCGACAAATATACCATCCAGGAGAAGATAGTACCGCTGCTTCGTGCTATCAAGACGAAGGAACCTGCCGTCATGGTACGTTCACGAGAAGGAACAAGTTACAGACGTCATGCTAATTATTGTACAGATGGCCGCACTGGATGTCTTCAAGGCCATCAGCACCCAAGTTGACAGTGACTTTCTTGCTATGGATGTACTTCCTATCTTGTGGAATTTCAGCTTGGGACCGCTACTTAACTTGCAGCAATTCCAAGCGTATATGAGCCTTATTAAGTCGACATCTGCCCGTGTCGAGAACGAACAGACACGTAAGCTGCAAGAACTGGGCGCGAATGGCTCCACAGCTACCACACGTAATGAGTTCATGTCCTTCGGTGGCCCATCAGCAACCAATGGCTTCGACACCAGCAACGGAAACGGAGATACTGACTTCGAGGCCCTTGTACGTGGAGGACAACAAGGATCTTCTGGTGGCACAGATATGTTGGGTGGAGATCCATGGGCAAACGCTCCAGCATCCGCTACATCCTCTACGATCCTCCCCTCACGACCATCTACCAACCGAACAGCATCCAGGACCGCATCGCCAGCAGCAACCTTCTCTTGGTCCACACCCCCCGTCTCTCCACCACCAACCAATAACCTCGGCGCCCCCAAACCGCAAAGCAGAGCCATAACACCGGACAACACACTAAATACACTCAACTCTTCTTTCCCCGCTCTGAGCGCTGTAAACCCAGGTATCGGCAGTTCTTCCTTCACCCAGCCCCAACAACAAGTCCGACCAGCTATGAACATGAACAACATAATGTCTCCCACCTCTACCGCAACACCCTCATACAACAATACCACGCAAAGCTCGGGTATCGATTGGAGTAAAGCAGGTAACTCGTCAATGGTATCAAACAACTGGAGTAACATGGCCACTTCGAATACCAACACGAACAATTCTCTATCGAGCTTCCCTTCTATAGCTCCACCTTCCTCACAGTCACGGACGCAATCTCCTTATTCGTCCTTTAGTATTGCGCCTCCTCCTGCGAAACCGATGGGCACAGGAACTTTTACCATCGCACCGCCACCCATGGGAAGCCGAACATCGAGTTCGGGAATGGGTATGAATAGTATGGCAAATTTGAGGGCGCAGACGCAGACGCAGACGCAGACTCAGCAGCAGCAGCAGACAAATTGGGGTAGTGGAGGTGATAGCTTAATTTGAGAAGTTACAGCGGGTATTTTAATCTTAGCAGTGAAGTTATAGGGTATGAGAGAAATCACTGTCATATAACTATATTCCACAGGACTCAGGGAATGGGGAAATATACGCCATTCATGTGGGTTGTTTCTACTACGAAACTGTTCGGAATGCATATTGAGCCTATTAGCACCACGTTTCGGGCCGTCAGGGGTCTTTCTTCAAATCCTAATGTTATTTTGTGAATATGTTAGTGATTAGTACGTTGGATCATCTATGCAGAAGTCGTCAGTATCATGTCTTCCTGTCCGTGGGCAGTGGAACCACATTCAGCAAGATGCGCTTATCTAAATGAAAAGGCCCGGCTATCTGTGATAAGAGGATACTACAGAACGGATGATGACGATAAGTTACTCCGCCAGCTTTTAGATCCTGTAGAGATAGATAGCTGTTGTTGGTTCATCGATTGGGTGATCGCTTTCGAAGGACTTTAGCACCTGTTGCGGAAGTGATAGGGTGATAGGTACTCTACGGCTGGTATAGTCCTTCTGTGTCTGTGCGTCTGTCAACGTTTGGCTCCCTTTCTTTACGCGGACGCTGCCATCCGGTGAGTATTGGAGTGACACGCGAGCATCAATGCACACGAGACTGCTTTTTTCTGTCCGAATGCCAAGTGCAGGATCAGCAACGCGCATAAGCCATGCAGCGCCCAGAACTAATATGAGGACGATCACGCAATTTGGTGTGCACTTTTGCGTTTGCTGCTTCGGTGAATTGCCAGTTGCCTGGCGAATCGTGCAGCAAGATCTACGATTCTGCAACACGGGTATTTCGGAGTGCGATGATTGGGAAGCGCGGACATGGTTGGCTAGATAGCGGACCCGTACCCTGCAGGACAGACATCCCTACAACGCGGCCGACACCGTGGTTACTGCCGTTTTCCTGGCTAAATCGGATATATACCATGGAATTCCGAAGACGGTCCATACTTTGAACGTGACGCGCTGTTTGTGACTGGTTTAGATAAGCAAAGGACGCGAAGGATTCGACATTGGTGGCTAGGCATTGGCGAGGCTTGGTGGTGGTAAATCGCCCACGGTATGTCGTAAGCTAAGCAAGCCAAGCCAAGCTTACCGGTGCTGGGAGGCCTTGATACGGAGCTTAGCAGTTGAGCTTAGCGGGCGCCACAGTGACATCAAGCCTTGATGTCTGACTTGTGAGCCAGTACAACGGTGTGGCGGTAGGAAGTGGGTGTGACAGAAGCGCAGGAGCGCGGAAAGGTGACGCGCCATCGGTCTAGTTATCTAGAGCCGTTGAAGATTAACGTAATGGGTCTTCGATATGCGTATGCTGC